GGCGCGCGGGGACACGTTCTCGGCGCTGACCAGCGTGGCGCGCGCCCTGGCGCCCGAGCGCCGGCTGCTGGGGCTGCTGCGGCGCTACCTGCGCGGGGAGGAGGCGCGGCTGCGGGACCTGACCAGGTGAGGGACGGGGGCGGGAGCGACAGAGACGCCTGAGTGCGGGAGACTGAGTCAGAGGGCGAGACTGAGACACCGTGCTACAGGATGGGGTGACTCTGAGGTTCATTGTCATGCTGTGTGGGACCTCAGACCCTGTGTCACACCCTGAGACTGAGACACGGTGGCCCAATGTGACCCCCCCAGACCCATTGTCACCCAGTGTGGGACCCCGAGATACTGTGCCATGGGGTGATGGGGAAACTGAGACTGATTATGACCCTAGAGACGCTGTGTCACACAGGGTGGGGCCTCAGACTCCGTCACACACACACAGTGGCACTCCAGATCCAGCGTCACACAGCGAAGTTGATACACTGTGGGAAAGTGTGGTGGAGTGCCTCTGAAGCCAAGGACCTCACAAGGCACTGTGTCAAGTTGTGTGGGCCCCAGGTCTTGTGTCACAGAGATGCAGAGATACTGCCAGAGTGAGATGCAGAGAATAGTGTGTGATGCTGCAGCCATACATGTCTTGACCATGTGACCCAGTGAACTGGTGTTTAGTATGAGGAGTTGGGTGATGTTCTGTGACCTTGGAGGAGATTTACGCGTCATTGGGACTGGATGGGCAGGACACTATGGATATCATACTCTGCATGTGAAAGGTGCCAAGTGATTGTACAAGTCACTCTGTGAATAATGCTTCATGTTCATCAATTCATTCAACACTTATGTTTGAGTGCCTATTATGAGCCAGGCACTGTTCCAGGCACTGGGGATAAAATGGTGAACAAGACCCAACCCTGCCCTCAAGGAGCTTATAGTCTGTAGCATCACGATTGGTAATCAGAGATGTCCGTGGCCTCCTTTGTTTTCAGCTCTCCCTTCTCTTTACTCATGTAAGAACTAAGTACTAAATAAATGATAACTGAGATGTTATATGTGTGTGAAAGTATTTGACAGCAAGAAAACACTGGGCAAAACCATACTTGATGCTAGAGGATACTGAGTGTTGCATACGCAAGCAGATGCTCAGCCAATGTTGTTTTGCTATCCAATCAACAAACTCTAGTGCTACACACTGTGGGATAAAACACTAATCATGTATTGACTCTGTCAGTGTCAAACTAGGAAAGATGAGTGATTGTGTACAATGCCATGTGTATCACATAGACACATATGTGTTGTGCTTTCTCTCCTTGGGACATTGGGAAGCCTACAGTGTGAGAAACAATGGTGTAACCATGTTGCTGTCTGAATATATTAATATTGTACTTCTATCACGTGAGTCTCTGCTGAACTGAGACAACAGAGGGCTGTCTCACAATGTACTGCTTATCAAATTGTGAGTGTGTGTGATGGTAATACTGATTCTGGGACACATGGGAAGAAGGTGTGTGGGACACCATGGCTATGCGAGAGAGCCCATGTGGAAGAGAATCAGTTTGTGGAAGTGTGTGTGAGAGATCTTGTTTGTTACTCAATGGTGACTGAATGATGATGTGATTTGGTACATGCTCTTAAGTATGTAGCTGGCATATAAGCAGTTATATGCATGTTTAAATTTACTGTTAGTTTGAAATAGCGTGATGATACACACACGTGCACACCCACACATACACATATATATAATGTATGTTAAATCTATATTAATTATAACAGTACATGATGATAATTTCAATAATTCTTGTCACTCTTTGGAGTGGCATAGTTGCTTAGTCTTCTGTGGCCCAAGTTTACAGAGCAAAATGTTTTAATTTTGTTCTTAGTCCAGATTCATTGGGGTCCAATTTCATTAGTGGAAATAGAGCAGACTCTTTTCTCTTTGATTTAAGATACCCACATGCTCCCTGCTGCTTATGTGCTTGTTGTCCTACCACTAATCTCTTTATTTGAGTGGCTCAGATGGAGATGGGGAGCTCAGAATTCTGATGCCAGGCCCTCAGGGAACAGGCTCAGAAGAGAGAGCTTGCAGTGTTGATCAAACCGGCTGGCCAGGGATCCCCTCTGCATGCTGGTCTCTTTTACTGTCTTATCACCATTTTCATTGTCACAGCTTTGTCACAGTGGGAGATCTGGCACAAACTTTATCTCTTTTGATACTCTCTCACACACAATGGTTTGAAATAGGTTTGTATTACCCTCTTAAACAAATGAGGAATCATTTAAAATATGGGAAAACTATAGTTTTGTACCTTATCCAAGATTATAAATCTGGTAGGTAGCAAATCCAGGACTAGGACACGGTTCTTTTCATTGTTTCTTTCCATCATGCTATGCTTACTTTATCTGGCATGCCAGGACACAGACCAAGCCCCATAACTGCTAAGGTTTTATGAGCAGCTGGAGTACATAGTAGTTAAGAGTCTGGATTCAAGAATTTAACAGACTCTGCTTGAATCCTTGGCTCTGACCTTTGGCAAATTCCTCTGCCTCTTTAAGCATTAGTTTCCTAATTTGTAAAATGATGATAATGATAGTACCTACCCCTATAGGGTTGTTGGAAGGATTAAATACCATGTAAAGGTATTTATCATTGTGCTTGGCATATAATAATTGTTCAACAAATGTTAGCTCTTTATGATTGTTGTTTATTTTAAGACTGGCTGATGAAACTAGACCCCACTTTTGGCTCTAAGCAGTAACTAGGATTGTTGAGAGGCCAGATAATAAAAAAGAATCAGAGAAATTCTAGATTCTCTTCTCATATGACTTATGAGCATTTAATTTCAGAAAGTTTAGTTTGATATTTTAGAGACTGTCCATTCTCTAGTCAATGCCCTAAAACCTAGTGAAATGTTTGCCTTTTAAAACAAGAGTTTTGGCAGTTCCTGCTCGTTTTCTATACTCCCAATCTGCTATCTTATGTAACTTAACTTGAGATGTTATTGCTAAGGGCCTCAGCTGATATTCTTCTTTAAATTTCCAAATTTAAAAATGAAATATTTTTTGATGTTGAAACTACTCCCTACCCCAAGTTAATGAATAAAAATTATACTAGTTATAGTATATATGTGTGTGTGTGTGTGTATTTAGTTAGCCCTTAGCTTTTTTTGTTGTTGCAGTTTTAAAAAACTACAAAAATTGAAAGAGTAGTATCAGCTGCAATTATTTCTGTGCTAGGAATTAAGCATTCAGAATGTCTCAGAAGAACTGAGACAAAGCCATTTCTGAATTCCAAAGGAGAAACATAGTGAATTAAAATAGCCCATGTATTGCGGTTGGATAACCTGTCCAGGCTATGTTTAAGGCAGGGATTGGGTTGCAAATGTTTTGTGGAGATTCTTGAAGGAAAGGATATGATTTTCCACTCTCAGCAGCATTTGTTAAAGCAAAACGCCATTTAGGAAACCCTGAGGTTGGAATTCAGCATCCAGTAACTCGGTCTCTGAAAACCAGCTATTTGCTCAGAGGCTGGGCATAGGGCCAACATTCGGATTCCAGACCAGCCTCAGATATCAGTTAATAGGTTTTTGTTTCCTTTGCGTGATAGAAAAATGATATATCTGAGCACTGAATTGAATTATGTGCTACAGTAGAGATCAAACCCCTGCCCTAAATAAATTGACCCCATAATACAAAGTGGGATGCGAAGAGAACAGGAGGTAGTGCTTTTGATCTGATGGATGACTTGGGACAAATCTTCACCTCTGCCTTCCCTCTTTCCCTTTGTGCCTCAGTTTACTCTGATGCCTGTTAAACATTAGTTCTCAAGCATCAAATGAGGAATCTATTTATTCACTTGTGGAAAAGATAATGGAATGAAATAATAGAATGGTTGTGCTGAAAGAATCCATAGAGATCTTCTAGACTAGACCAGTTCTGTCGTTTTATAGAGGAGGACACTGGGGGATAGTTGGAGGCTGGGTCAGGATACGTCTCAGGTCTCCTTCCAGCTCCTCCCTATCCAAGTGTCTTATAAAATCACTGCCCACTCAGCCTCAGTTGTCCCTGGACACTTACCCTTCAGGCTGGACTCAAGCCCAAGTCTCTGCTTGTAAGTTTTTTCGTCTAGCAGTGGAATATCTTCCACTAAGTAGTTCCATATGGAGCTGAAGCAGGAAATAATGGGTAGTAAAATAATGCCACACCCTGGAGACTGGTTTAGTTTCAAAACCCTAGAGTAGCTGCTCTCAAACAGCCCTGTCTTAGGGCTTAGAGACATCCTGGGACTTGACAGGCTTCCCATTTCCTCTGAGGTGCACCCAGGCCCAGATTCTCGTTCCTTAGGTTATGCTTGAATTGAACGTGTGGCACCCTGGAAGCACCCCAAGGCCAGTCGTCTTCTATTCCAGGCTCTGTTTCCCAGTTGAGGGCCCCACCCTTGAGAAATCTCTAGATCAGACTCTGCTTCAAGGGATTGAAATCCCCCCACCCTGCCACTCCCTCTGTGCTTCACTTTCATCCCTCTCCACTCTTGCAGGTCCTCCGCTCTGGCCGAGGGACTCCCATATTCTCATGTGCTCTTGCGCACATTCATGTAAATCCATATCCTTTTCACTTGGCACACGTTTTTCTTTTACTTCCGTTGTTGTTATTATACTGTTTTTGAAATTAATAATTTTAAAACAAGGGAAAAAATTCTTAGAGGGCAGGACTGGAGCTCTTAAGTCTTCCCTTTTACAATCAATAAATTTCAATAATATAGAAATAACAAGTGTTGGAGAGAATGTGGAGAAAAGGGAACCCTCAGACACTGCTGGTGGGAATGGCCAACTGGTGCAGCCACTATGGAAAACAGTACGGATATTTCTCAAAAAATTAAAAATAGAAATACCATATTATCTGGCTATCCCACTGCTGGGTATTTATCCAGAGAACGTGAAATTAACAGTTCAAAGAGATCTGTGCATCCCTATGTTCTTCGCAGCATTATTCACAAAGCCAAGACATGGAAGCAACCCAAGTACCCATCAACTGATGAATGGATAAAGAAGATGTGGTATATTTATACAATAGAATACTACTCAGCCATAAAAAAAAGACAAAATCATGCCATTTACGACAACGTAGATGGACCTTGAGGGTATTATGCTGAGTGAAATAAGCTAGACAGAGAAAGACAAATACCATACAGCTTCACTTATATGTGGAAGATAAACAAACACATGGATAAGGAGAACAGATTAGTGGTTACCAGAGGGGAATGGGGTGGGGGGAGAGCAAAAGGGATAAAGGGGCACGTGTGTACCATGACAGATGAAAACTAGACTATTGGCGGTGAATGTGATGCAGTCTATATAGAAACTGATGTGTAATAATGTACACCTGAAATGTACACAATGTTATAAGCCAATATGACCTCAATAAAATAATTTAAAAAAATAATCCCGTTAGTGTGTTAGAAATGGAATAACTATAGTATACCAGAAAAGGAAACAGCATCTTTTGCTTATACGAACACTTTTGTAGGACATCCAAGGATGAGAGAAACTAACTAGAAAGATGATCACCTCTGGCCCTACTGTTTCTGGCTCTTTACTGCAAATGTCAACAAGTCCGAAAGATTGAAAGCATGCTGGACAGCCCCACCTCTTCACTCCTGGTTATAACCATCACCAGTTTCTGTATGGTCTACTTACTAAATACCTCCCTCGAATCCATCCCATTCTGTGTCCCCACTGCCGCTGTTGTTTTTCAGATTCTCCTTGTTTCTTGTTTGCAGTTTTGAAATGGCCTCCCAACTGGTCTTTCCATCTTCAGTCACTTCCACTTTTGAACCCTCCTCCCCCATCCTCTCACAGATTTATATATGTAAACATATCGTAGCGTATCCCATTTTCATCTAAAACCTTTTGGTGGCTCCTAATTGCAGTCAGGGTAAAAACCAAATTCCACAGCAAGGCTTATGAGGTGCTCCTCACTTCTCCAGTCTTATCTCCTACCCATCTCCTGTACACCCTGTGCTCCAGCAGTACTAAACTGCTTGTGATTCCCCTACTTCTTCTCTCTATACCTTTGCATATGTCAAACTGTCTCTGCCTGTCTGGAAGGAGGCCTCCTTCTCCCTTCCATATTATTTGCATTCACCCATCAAGTCTCAGTTTATTATCTCCTCTGTGAAACCTTCTCTGACCTGCTCTGGCCAAATTAATCACCCCCTATCTATACTCCCCGCTAAAGCTGGTGTTAATTCTGGTGTTGCATCTGTAATGTAATTATTTGTGCCTATCTTACCCATTAGACTCCAAGTCCTTGAGACCAAGGTTATTGTCTTATTCAAAATTTTGTTTCTCATTCCTAGAAGAGTATATTTCATTCATTCTTTCATAGAATTACATGTTGAACTTAGGTATAGAGTGAGGAGAAAACAGCTATTTTCTTGCCTGTGAAATCCTTGAGCATTGGACCCTGTCTTGCCTTTGCGTCTCCAGCATGCAGCATGGAGTCTGACATCTAGCAAGTAACCAGTATAGTATGACTTATTGAATGAACATATATATGTCAAGCCTCTGTGCCCTTGTATACATTGGTCCCTGTTGGCTCGAAAAACGTTCTTCCTCCTCTCTTTGTTCTAGCTCTGTGGAAATCAGTATGGCAAAATCAGCTGAGAACTGGCTTCAGAGTCAGGCACACTTGGTTTCAATCCTGGCTTTGTCACTTACTCATAGTGTGGCTTTGTTTCAGTTTCCTCTCCTGTAAAATGGGCACAATAAAATCTACCCTAAGGGTTGTTGGGGGTGTTAAATGAGACATTATATTTAAGGCACTTAGTAGGATGCCTAATACATGGTAAGGGCTCAATGAAGAGCTATCAATATTTTCCTTAATCCTTCAGGACTCAGATCAAGTGCCATCTCCTCTGAGAAGTCTTCCTTTACCCCTTCTACTCCCACCTGCGTTAGGTGCCCTGCCTACAAATCGCCATAGCATTACATAGCATTGTATGCTCACTTCTCTCACAGCACGTAGCACAATTATTGTAATTAATTCAACAACATTTTTGAGCTTCTACCAGATTCTGAGTATTGAGTGATGAGTGATGAGAGTGATGAGTGATGAAAGTGATGACAGAAAAGAAAATTTTCTTGTTTGTGAACTTGAGAGCTCAACCCTGTCTTGTCTGGATCTCTGGCATCTAATGTGGTACAGTAATTGACCAGCAGAGACTGGCTCATTGAATGAACAACGAGTGGACCTACTTCTGTTGTGTTGGTAATTTTCATATTCTTTGAGCTTATTGATTGGAATATTACATGAGTCTCCAGTGGCTCGGCATTTCATTTTTAACTACTCTTAATGTATGTACACCGTGGAGCCTTCCTAGGTGTAGCGGTTGTATCACTAGGTGAGATCATTCTTTTACTCCTCTCTTTCAGATTCTATGACAAGGTGCTTTCTTTGCATGAGGATTCGGCAACCCCTGTGTCTAACCCTCTGCTTGCATTTACTCTCATCAAACGCCTACAGTCTGACTGGAGGAATGTGGTACATAGTCTGGAGGCCAGTGAGAACATCCGAGGTAATGAGGAGGAGGGCTGGAGGGTAAGAGAAGATTCTATCTCCTGACTCAGTGGAAAGGAGAGAGATTCTGATGGGATGTGATGAAGGATAATGAAGTGGGTAGGTATTACTTGATCTCCTTAGCTCTAACTATTACAAAGAACCAGGTCCACTTGTTAATGTGTTTATATGATTATACATTAGAAAACACTTCCATATCCGTTATCTCATTTGATCTTCACTACAGTCCTGTGAAGAACTATAGGTTGTATCATCCCCTTTACAGATGTGTGGGAAGTGATGTCTTCTAATTCCTATTTTATGAAGTTGCCTCTACAGTGTGATCTGTAGCAAGATCACTTTCCTAATTTACTCTACTTTGTACTTGTACAAGTTTGTTGACTTTGGGGAAGTTAAGAGGAAGAAGAATTGTCCCCGCAAAGGGCAAGACTCATGGAGACAGATAGGAGGGGACAACATGATAGGGTGTGTGCCTTAGTTTTACTCCAGGGTGTTTGTTCCTTATTCAGAAGATTGTGTTAAGCATCCACTCTGTGCCAGGAACTGTGCTTGCCACTGGGAACAAAAGCAAATCAAACGTTATCTTTGCTCGTGAAATATTTGAGCAGGTGATGATGCCTTGCATGTGTTAAATGCTCACCACCTGTTTTTTGCATGATGGGTTGATGTTTTCATGACCTTTACAGCTCTGAAGGATGGTTATGAGAAGGAGGAGCAGGACCTGCCAGCCTTTGAGGACCTTGAGGGAGCAGCGAGGGCCCTGATGCGGCTGCAGGACGTGTACATGCTCAATGTGAAGGGCCTTGCCCGGGGCGTCTTTCAGAGAGTCACCGGCTCGGCCGTGACTGACCTGTACAGTCCCAGACGACTCTTCTCCCTCACAGCAGATGACTGCTTCCAAGTTGGCAAGGTAACAATATTCAGAGAGAGGTGAATTGCTCAGCTCTAGTTTTTTGTGGATGAAATAACTATATCTGATTGCTTTTACATTTTTCTAATCCTTACAGCAAACTTGGAAATTTGGTATTATTATCCATGTTCAGATGAGGAAACTGAGGTTCAGAGAGGGTAAATAACTTGCCTAAGGTTACACAATGTTAAGTAGCAGAAGTAAAATTTGAACTCAGTCTTTAACTGCAAATCCCACGTTCTTTCCATGATGTCTAAGGTGATCATATACTTAGGTCACTCTTGAGAGTGAAGGAGGTGTTATTAGTTATTAGTTATGCCAATGGATGGGACTGTCCTGGGCAAAATGATCCTTTGGTCACCCTAACTATAGCACCCTGCCAGTGGATGAATAGCTGGGTGGAAAGGAGAAACAAGGTTAAAGGGCAGGGCAAAGGGATAAGAGATGGTGATGTGAAGTAAGATCATGGAAACCCAGCTTCCTGAGACTTTCTGATCCCTTGCAACATTTCCTAAGCATTTAGAAATACTAAATTAAAGTAGCATCAAAAAACTGAGGCCATTCACTTTAACATTACTTGAGGAAATTAACTTCGGGAACCTTCCATATGAGATATTTAACCAATCTTTGATCATAAGTTATAAGCACACTTATTTTATAATACACTCTTTGTCAGCCTTTGCCTTAAGAAATAATGGAGTAAATCCTTTTTAATTTTGAAGATTGGTATTGCAGGAAAGTGAATTTTTTCCATCCCCTACAGTATTCATTAGCAGATCTGAGAGTGGGCCTCATGTGTCCTAATTCCAAGTTTTGGGGATCTGTCTTCTAAATTAATGCGGAGTGGGTTGCCCTAAGCCTCTCTATGTGCCATTTTTCCTTTTCTGAGATCCTGAATGGAATCAGAGCTCAGTCATCAGGTTCATGGCTAATTTAAATTTAAGCCAATTAAAATAGTTCCATGTGTGGTATCAATATATGCTTCATAAGTGAGGCCTTTCTGAGAGTAAAACCATATGTAGAAAATTTAGTAAGTCACTTCCTGAAAGTCTCACTGTCAGTCTTTATTTCTGTATTTATTTACTTATTTTAAAAGATAAAACATTTCAAATATAAGGAAAGTATATGAAATAATATAATGAGTAGTTATATCTATAATTGAGATGAAATATATATTCAAATTTTGCTATATTTGTTTAAGATTTTTAAAAAAAATTAAAATATGGCTGAATAAAGCCCCATTCCTTTTCCTTCTCACCACCCTCCATCCCTTCTACTCTACCCTTGCCCAGGTGCCAGGTAACCATTATCCTGAACCATACGATGTGTACTCTTCTGAGTCCAGCTTCTTTCACTCAGCATATTATATCTGTGAAATTCATCCACGTTGTTGCATTTATTAGTAGTTCATTCCTGTTTATTGCTGAGTAGTATTCCATTGTGTGAATATACCACAAACTGTTTATCCAGTCTCTTGTTGATGGATACTTGGATGTTCCAGTAAATGGACTGTTGTGAATAAACATTCTTATGTATATAGTAATATTCTTATGTAAGTCTTTCTGTGGACATTTGTTTTCATTTCTCTTGAATAAATATCTGGGAGTAGTATTGCTTGGTCAAAAATAAGCTTCAATGATTGACATGTGGCTAAATTTGTTTCATCCACACATCTCGAATGCCTCCTCCATGGGTTATTTTAAAGCAGGTTAGTCTATATTCTGAAATTCTTAATTTCAGATTAAGAATTTAATTCTTAATTTCTAATTCTACTACCCTACTATTATGTCTCTTGACTCTTGTTCATGATAGATTATTTCCTGATGTAGTTTATCATGTTTGATTGTAAGCTTAGTTTTAGCAGGACTTTTCCTCCTAAGACAATCTCTGTGCCCGGAGCTGTGGAAATATCTCTCCAGAGAGTTTTGGGTTTTCTTCTTCAGGTACTCTGGTGGTATCACTGGCCTTAGATCCTTTTATTTATTTATTTATTTATTTATTTATTTATTTATTTAGCTGTACATTACATCCATGACTTACATATTTTATAACTGGAAGTTTGTACCTTTTGACCCCCTTCATCCATTTCACCCACCCTACCCTCCGCCTCTGGCAACCAACCTGTTCTCTGTATCTATGGGCTTGGGTTTTTTTTTTTTAGATTCCACATATAAGTGAAATCATATGATATTTGTCTTTCACTGTCTGACTTATTTCACTCAGTATGATGCCCTCAAGGTCCATCCATGTTGTCGCAAATGGCAAGATTTCCTTCTTTTCTTATGGCAGGATAATATTCCATTGTATATGTATAGCACATTTTCTTTATCCATTCATCCATTGATGGACACTTAGGTTGTTTCCATATCTTGGCTATTGTCAATAATGCTGCAATGAACATGGGAGTGCAGATAACTTTTTGAGTGAGTGTTTTCGTTTTCTTTGGATCAATACCCAGAAATGGAATTGCTGGGTCATATGGTAGTTCTATTTTTAAGTTTTTGAGGAACTTCCATACTGTTTTCCATAGTGGCTGTACCAATTTACACTCCTACCAACAGTGTACAAGGGTTCCCTTTTCTCCACATCCTCACCAATACTTGTTATTGCTTCTCTTTTTGATAACAGCCATTCTAACATGTGAGGTGATATCTCATTGCAGTTTTGATTTGCACTGGCCTTAGATCCATTTTATATTGATTTATTGGCCTGGGGGTTCCTTAACTATATGAATAATGCAAATTCAAACCCTAAACTCACGTGAAGCATAGGCTCAAGATTGTGAATATTCTAAGGAGACACTTTGTTCCCCTACACAGAGCCCAGACAGAAACAAACCGACTTTCTTGTCTCTTTATGACAGTGGGTCGATTTTTTTCTGGCCTACCCTTTCCTTTAAGGTATAGTTTGTCATGGATTTCAGTTTTGTGCGTGTGTCTTAGTTCCAATTTGTAGATTTTTGGAAGTCTAAGGAAGGCTCATCTGTTATCCTCAGGTGGGCATTATAACCTAAGTTTACTAAGTACCAATGTTGCTAAGACTAACACCCACCCCCATCCTAGGCAGCTTAAGCATCTGCTCATAAGCTTACTGCTTAGGTTTTTAGCTCCTTTTTTTGTTTCTGGTACCTGGATATTTTCCATTTTTTCTTGAAAATATGTAATGAAATTCTTGTTTTATTTTATTCAAAATTTCTAAGTCTTTGTGGTTGGAATGATTCCACTTATCTCAATCTACCATGTTGCTGGGACTTGAAGTTCCTCATTAATTGAATGAATTGTTAACTTAGCAGAAAAAGTGCAGTCGTTTTTGATTGTTATTCTTCAACTCAACCTTTTTAGAAATAGGAAACTTGAGGACCAGAAATATAACACAGCAGATTAATGGCACACCTGGGATAGGAGTTGATTTATTATTTAGGCTGCAGAGCTGCCGTATCTCTAGTTACTGCCCTGTCTTTCTGCCTGTCTGGAAGTTACACCTAAATGAGATCATTTTGTAAGAGTTCTTCCAACTCTGTGATTTTATAATTCCATGCTGTCTCCAACATCAACTTCCAATCCCACCTGCAGTTCTGGTATTCTAGTTAGCTGTAAACTGTTAGGAGACAGGAGCTATGTCTAGTCCATGTTGCCATATTCCCCGACATTCCAACAATTAATGTAGGACAAATCCACTGAGCTCTCATAGTGTTCCCAGGTCTACCTTCATTATGATGTCTGATGCATTGTGTTGCAATTACTGGTTTACTCACATGCCCCTCAGTTGCTTGTAAGCTCTTTGAGGGGACCACCAGGTACATTGTAAATACTCAGTAAATATTGAATAAATAAATAAAAGAATTTAATCCATTCCTCAGGTTGCTACCAGCAATATCTTCCTAAAAACATGACATTCACGACTCTCATTAACTTAACCCGTGCTGCCTTTTGAAGTTCATTTCCTGCTTCTCTTCAACATACTACTTGAACACATTCTTGCTTTTCGCTTCTGTTTCTACAATTCCCTCATCTTAAAATGCCCTTCCTTCCAATCTCTGCTCATTAAAATCCTTTTCTTTCTTCAAGGAAGGCCCATCTCAAATGCCACTTCTTCCATGAAGCCTTCTGAGATTCCCAAGTCTTCTCGCTTCTCTATACTTCCATGGCACATTATACATATTTCCTTTGAGCATTCATGCCATTCTGCCCTGTATTATAGTTACTTAATTTCATCTCTCTCTCCTCCCCAGATTATAAATTCCTTAAATGAGAGAACCCTTATGTCTTCTCTACACCTAGTACGATGCTTTGTATATAATAGATACTTAATAAATTAAACTTAAGTGAATTTGAGATGAAAACTTGCCTCTGGGGTTCCAAAGGCCCTCCACTCTTTGTGTGGTGGTTTCCTTTCTTCTACCTTGGACTAAGGCTTTAATGATGGTACCTTTGTTCCTTACAGGTGGCCTATGACATGGGGGATTACTACCATGCCATTCCTTGGCTGGAGGAGGCTGTCAGTCTCTTCCGAGGATCTTATGGAGAGTGGAAGACAGAGGATGAGGCAAGTCTAGAAGATGCCTTGGATCATTTGGCCTTTGCCTATTTCCAGGTAGGGGAGTAAGTGAGGCTCACTGCTTTCATCACAATAAATGTAATGCTTTATATCTGCTTTACAATTTTCTAAGCATTTTCATGTCTCTTAATTTATTTCATCTTCCCAACAGGACCAAATGTGAGTCAAGCAGGGCAGTTGTTTTATTATTTCCATATTTCACATGTGAGTAAACTGAATCTCCAAAAAATTCCTAACTTGTCACAAAGTTCACAGAGCTGGGATTAGAGGCCAAGTCTGCCTGCCTCTTAGTCCGGTGCTCTTTCCAATGCGTTGACAGCTTTACAATCATCATCTCCCATCTAGGAGGCAGTCTCTTGCCTGTAGCAGCAGCCGCCGCATCGACAAGTGTTTGATGGGTTCATAGTCAATGTAGATCACTCTTTTGCACTCTTGACAACTCATAACTCTTCACAGATGTTATGCCATGGTATTGCCAGCATCCAAGGAAGAAGTTTGATTTTTATGCTCTCTCACCTTCAGTCAAGTACAACTGTATCCTGACTAGTGTCTGGCTACAGAACTGGTGTCGTTGGTCCGTAGTACCAGCTCAGTGCCTCCTCTAGGTGTTGTTTTCTTTGGCATTGTTGATCTATGACCTGTTGTGCCTCATGTGGAAGCTTATTTCCCTGAATATGGGAGCTGCCATCTTTTGGTATCGCTAACCCCATTTTCCACCAGAGTTGTACAGTCTTCAAGAATAGGCTGGAAAACTCACTACAGAGTCAATTCCCTAGGGTTTCCAAAGCTAATAAACCATTTCTGCTCCATACATTCCTTTTTCTTTCCCCCTTTTCCTGAGAAAAGGGAAGAGGATGTGGGTGGTCCAAACCCATATGTTGCTGCCAAAACAGAATTATTCTCAGTGCAGCAGACGGTCCTGTTGCTCTCGTGGAAGTTCCTTGTAAGTGGATCTTTGTTGTAAAACTTCGCGGGGCATTCTTCCTACCTCTCCTGCTCAATTGCTGCATCTTTAAAGCTGAAATAGAATCATTGTGATGCAACAAAGGCTGAGAAGTAATTGAATTTTAATAGAGGAGGAAAATGGAAAATTGACATGGAGACTCATAGAAGATAAACTGAAGCAGCTTACCCTGAACAACGGGGTTTTAAACATAGTGCCTGATTATTAGTTTTGGTTGTTTTCCCCTATGATGACTTAGATTTCTCCTCTACTCACTGGCAGACTCTCCCTTTGCACAATCCTGTTTTGTCTGGTAAATTTTATTCATCTTACAAGGCATGGCTCAAATATCCCCTATTTTTAAAGTCGTCCTTAATTCTCCTAAGACTCCCCAGACTTTCTTTGTGCTCTTACAGCACATTTTTTTATGTCACAGTAATAGAACATATAGGTATGGTCTTATAGACAACTTATGGTTGCCTTTTTACCCCTAGTAAATTAGGGATAAATGTCCCTCCATGGACCTTTCATTATCATGTTAAATTATACATGGTGTATATAGATATATCTATACATACCATGAAAAACATGATATAATGTCATATTATATATAATACTATGTATTATATAATACTTTTTAATGATATGTTTTGGTGAAAAATTATTTCACTAACTGCTAATAATGAGAGACAGTAGAATGTAGTAATGAAACCATAGGCTCTGAAGTCAGACAGACCTGGGGTCAAATTCTGTGAAAACTCGGGCAACCTACTTAACTTCCCTGGACCTCAATTTTCTTATTTTTAAGAGAGGAATAATAATGATGCTTTGGGGGTATGTGGGTAATTTTCCCTCTAACCTTCTGAGTTCTTGGCTGAGACCTTCCTGTGATAAAAAACGATAAACAAGAGGAAAAATAAACAGAAGTTTACTATCATGTATACTTCCTGTATATATGGGAGATGCCTGGGAGAAATGAGTGACTCTGAGGCCACCACCTTAAATACCATCTTCAGCTAAAGACAAAAGAAAGGTGTGGGGGGAGGCCAGTTATAGGAGGTTACCAGGAAAAGCAAACAAGGGTAACATTATTATGCAGATTTAAGTGGGTGCCTTCTCCGTTAATAAGATTCTGTTGTGATTTAGAGTCATCTTTCTCTTCCAGGTACACAGAGGGAGACACTCTTACAAAGAGAGATTTCCTTTATAAATGTAAATGTCCCTTACAGAAGGGTAACTTCTACTCTGGTTTTCAGAACTTCTCTTGTGTCTGATGTTTCTCAAAATGTTTAGCTCAAAATAATCCTTATGCCAATCAGGCATATTATGGGGTGGCATATTATGGGGTGGCATATTCTGCTACCCTTCAATGCTCACCTCAAAGAGTTGTTGTGAGGATTAAATGAGCTAATACATGTAAAGCCCTTAACACAATTCATGACACATATGCACTCAATAAACATAAGCTATTATTGTATTATACACTACAAATGTATGTTCTGCTTTTTCATTAAACATTATTTAGTTAGACATTTCCAAAGAAATTTAACTGGCACATCAAAAATAACTCTAACTTTGTTCTTGATAAAATATAATTTTATCACGTGATAAAGCCCTTGAGTTTTAAAAAAATATAAAATTGTGTTTTAGTTCTCTTCATCTCAAAAGTGTGAAAAGCTGTAACCCTGAGTCAATACCTGACGTTTATAAGACATCAACAGATTACTTAACTATCCCTCTGTTAAGCATAGAACAGAATAATTTATGAAATTAAATAATTAGAAACAATCTGTATGTCCAACAATAGCAGAATGGTTAGGTCATCTGTGATGTAGCTTCTTGGTGGAATAAAATGCAGCCATTAAAAGTGCTGCCTCTTGCACACCCGTGTTTGTAGCAGCACCATTCACAGCAGCCATGAGGTGGAAGCAACTCAAGTGTCCATCAATGGATGAATGGATGAACAAAATGTGCTATACACATACAATGGAGTAGTATTCAGCCTTTAAAAAGAATGGAATTCTGGGGCTGGCCCAGTGGCCAGTGGTTAGTGGTTAACTTTGCGCCCTCCACTTTGGTAGCCCAGGGTTGGTGGATTCGGACCTGGGCACGGACCTACACACTGCTCATCAAGCCATGCTGCAGTGGCATCCCACATACAAAATAGAGGAAGATTGGCATGGCAGTGTTCCTCATCAAATAAATAAATAAACAAATAAATAAATAATAAAGAGAACGGAATTCTGACTCATGCCACGATGTAGGTGAACCTTGAGGACATTATGCTAAGTGAAATAAGCCAGTCACAAAAAGACAAATACTATGATTCCACTTGTATGAGGTATCTAGAGTAGTTAAATTCATAGAGACAGAAAGTAGAATAGTGGATACCAAGGGCTGAGGGGAGGGGGAAATTGGGAGTTTTTGTTTAATGGATATAGAGTTTCAGTTTTGCAAGATGAAAAGATTCTGGAGATTGGTTGCACAACAATGTGAATATAGTTAACACTGCTGAACTATACTCTTAGAAATGGTTAAGATGGTAAATTTATGTTATGTGTTTTTTAGCACAATTAAAAATAATAATTAAAAAATGCTCTCTCTGAAGACTATGTAATGATATAAAAAGTACTCCTGATAACAATGTAGAGGGAAACAATCAGGATATGAAAATATATAAGACATAGGATTATACCTCTGTAAACACTGTGTATTATCCAAAGTGCTTAGAGTGCCTGGGTTTCTGTGGAGCATTTTTTTTCCTATTTCTCATAGGTTTTATAGTGTGCTTATTATTGCTATTATCATTAAAAATGAATTTTTTAACATGCAAAAATAAAATGATCAGAAGGCAATACAGTTTTATCAGTTCATCATCATTCCATGGCACCCGGAGCAGGATCGCAGCCCACCTGCACCGGGTTCTGTTTCCCAGGTTTGCTGGAAAGCTTCTGTTTACTTCTAACCAGGCATAGCCCACCGTTGAATGGCTGCAGGGAGCATTCAGTGGGAACATTTCAGGTTTAGTTCTTCCTTTGCATCCCTCCCATTAACTTTGTAGACTCTAGGAAGTACTGAGCCTGGAGAACAAATTATATTTTTACTACGGTTTTTATAGTTCCATATTAAGCTTAATAATAAAATATACCAACATAACACCCTGCAGTTACATGGTTTTGCATGCTTTAAGATTTGAGGGCACTTCGAGAAAGTTTATTTTCATTTATTTTTCTACCTTCCCTGGTAAGGGTGGTAATAAGTCATTTGTAAATGAGGAAACAGAGGAGACCTGATTTGCATCAAGGCTGCAAATCCTGAGTTAGGACAGAACCTCTGCATTTCTAGTCTGCTGCTCATCTCAATGAGTCTTGCTATCTACTTGTGGTAAGAGTATTTTATAGTTTTTTTAAAAATCCATTTAATGATTTGGTCAGAGGAGGTATCCTCAGTGCAGTTAACTCTTTCTTTTCTTTTGCTTCCTGTTTTTTTTCAGGCAGGAAATGTTTCGTGTGCCCTCAGCCTCTCCCGAGAGTTTCTTCTCTACAGTACGTAATAAGAAAAGATAAGCCACAGCTCTGATTTACCAGGAAATCCCTTCTGCCCCTGCCTTTAACCCTTGCAAGTGAAATACAGCTATCTATTTTTATTTTTCTAATTTTATAATCCAAGGCACATTTCTAATTTTGGATTAAATCTTACTTAGATACTGATCCATGCATCAGGGGGAGATTTTTCAGTTAGTTGGAAAATGTTAAGAAGAAGATATCAGCCTGTCCCTTTCCTCCTCCACTCCCCACCAGTTATATATCAGTGTTGCTTAAGTGGGGAACATTCCAGCACTGGGAGCCAGTTTCTTCAGAGACATTTAAAGACCCACGTTTTGGGAGCAGACCTGAGAATGAATGAAATCAATGAGAGCTGTGTGTGCAAGGAGAGTGACTCAGCAGGATTATTCACTTTGGTTGCTTTCCAAGAGATATCAGTTCTTCCCTTTTAACCAGAGCTCCCTTTGCTATGCAAGCATCCTGCCCAGTCAGCGCAGAGTTCAGCTACAGCCCTTTTCAGGGAGCACCTCACCAGAGTTAAACAGGAGTGAGACTTCCAAGCTTAGCTCTCTGCTTGGGTATTGTTGCTTACAATTTTGGTGGTAGATGGCTTCCCAGGTTTGCCTTTAATAAGATATTTAGATACTAAAATAAGTGCATAATCACTATTATGTTTTAATATTTATAAAGTATTTCATGTAGGACTTTACAATTGTATTTTTATCACTTTTTAATGAAACCTAGTAACATTATTTCATTCTGATAATTTGGCAAACAGTAGGATAAGGAATTAGCTGTATGGTTTTTGGAAACATGTGGGTGGTTAGTGGTCCAGCAAAGTAATAACCCAGCCGCCCCTTTATTTCTTTGTGGCGGATCTATTAAAATCTCTGCCTCTCCCAGAGAACCCAAATTGCGTACTATTATAAGTGGATAGATAGGACACAGCAAATTGAGATTCCCGGTTCCATTTCTGGCTTTGCAATATTTTCATTGGTGTTTTGGACTCACCACTTCCATTCTCCCAAACTTCATTTCTCTTCTTGTTAAAAAAAGGATGGTAATATCCATCCCCTCCTTTGCCAGGGTGGTGGCGGTGGTGGTTAGAAGCACATTGAGCTCCTCAGAGAAAGATGCTTTGGGAGCATTAGAATAATTTAGCCTTCCTTCTGAGATGCACTGAAAATTATGCGCAGGGGCTTAGCAGGCCATGGGGAGCTGCCAACCCACGGGGCACTTGCAGCTAAAGCGGGTACAAACAAGACACAAGACCCCTGTGGGAACTCAGGCTAGAACCAAAGGCTAGAACCCCTTTGTCCCATACTGCACTGCTCTGTGTCTAGGCTAGTTAGGAATTTTGAAGGCTGTAGTAGAGTTGGGAATGAATTAGCTTCTAATTCTTCAGGGAAGAATAGGTTGAGTCTCTCTGCTGTAGGCTTTGGCTCCCTGGACTTCATAGCACTTACTTTTCATGTCTCACTATAAGTAGTTATTTAATGTGTCTTTTCTCCCTTAGACTCTAAACTCTGGGAGGTTAGACTCTAGCACAGTGTTTGGTACATGGCAGATGTTCACTGAAGGTTTATGGAATGGATGGGTAAATGAATGAATGAATGGAAGAATGAAGCTTCTTCCTTATACATAAAACTTACCATCACACCGTCAGAGCTGCCATCCTCATGATCCCTTGGTCTAAGAGTGTTAAGTACCACTTTCCTTCCCAAAGTCCCGTGTGCCTTCAGATCTACCAGGCCCAACTCAATCTCAGTTAATTACTCAATTAATACCAGGTTCTCTGGGCCGGCCCCGTGGCTTAGCAGTTAAGTTCGCGCACTCCGCTACTGGCGGCCCGGGTTTGGATCCTGGGCGCGCACTGACGCACCACTTCTCCGGCCATGCTGAGGCTGCGTCCCACATACAGCAACTAGAAGGATGTGCAACTAAGACATACAACTATCTACTGGGGCTTTGGGGGGAAAAAAAAATGGAGGAGGATTGGCAATAGATGTTAGCTCAGAGCCGGTCTTCCTCAGCAAAAAGAGGAGGATTAGCATGGATGTTAGCTCAGGGCTGATCTTCCTCACAAAAAAAAAATATATGTATATATCAGGTTCTCTTCTGGGAATGAGGGCCTCACATCCTCCTGTGCATGGACACAAGGAGTTATTCGGGGGTCCAGTTGCCCGTCATGTGCAACAGTGAAGCTGGCGGAAGCCTTGGCAGCACTCCCCGGACCAGTGTTTGTTAATCTGTATTATTCCTTGCTCTGATTTCTCCCAGGCCCAGATAATAAGAGGATGGCCAGGAATGTCTTGAAATATGAAAAGCTCTTGGCAGAGAGCCCCAACCAGGAGTTGGCTGAGGCTGTCATCCAGAGGCCCAATGTACCCCACCTGCAGACCAGAGACACCTACGAGGGGTTATGTCAGACCCTGGGTTCCCAGGTAGGATTCCATGAGGAAAGAGAAAGGGGGAACAGGCTTGGCTAGAGAGGAAAAAGGTAGAACTGGAACACTGGGAGGGGAAAGGGCTGATGCATTAAAAAAATATGAAGCTCACTTGGACGCATCAGTGACCACATTCTGAATCTCTCACATTCCAGTTTTTTATACCACAGTTCCCCTAAATTGGTTTCTGCTTCCAGACTCTTCTTCTCTTATGCTGATTCTAGTCTTTCCTTGCAGCCCACTCACTACCAGATCCCTAGCCTCTACTGCTCTTATGAGACCAACTCTAGCCCCTTCCTGCTGCTCCAGCCTGTCCGGAAGGAGGTCATGCACCTGGAGCCCTATGTTGTTCTCTACCATGACTTTGTCAGTGACTCGGAGGCTCAGAAAATTAGAGGGCTTGCAGAACCGTGGGTGAGTGTCCTCAAAGCCTGCCAAGAACTTCCCTTTGTGTCTTCACATGCCTGGAGTTCAGGAATGTGAGCCTAGGCAGCCTGAACAACTAGACACTTCATCAGTCCAGTTCAAAATGCCAACCATTCCATAAAACTAATCAATGGTGAAAAAATCACAGTAGTGGTTGCTTCTGGAAGGAGGGGATTGGCTGGGAAAAGGTAGAAGGAGATTTTCTGGGGTGTTGAAAATATGCTTTCACTATCATGTTAGGGATGTGGAGTACACAGCAGTATGCATTTGTTAAAACTCAGCAAATGGTACACTTGAGATGTGTGTGTGTCATTGTACGTAAATTTAACTAAAAAAAATAAAAAGGAACCCCCCCCCCCAATTTCAATCATTCCATGTAATTGGTAGAAGAATAAAAAGAGTGAAATGAAAGGGCAAGGACTGATACCCTAGTACAGATTTACAGAATTACAGAGTGGAGAGATAATCTAGGTCAACTTTATTTTGTTAAAGAGGAAACTGAGGCCCAGAGAGGGGAAGGGCCTTCATTAAGGGCACACACGAAGCTGGAGCCAGAACTGGAACTTAGAGGCCCATTGACTGCTGCTCTGGTGTTCTACCTCTTGTGTCAGTTAACTTAGGTTAAGTTATGTTTGGTAACAAGCAGCCTCAAAACCTCAGGGACAACAGCAGTGAAGGTTTGTTTCTCACTCACCATCACGTGTCTGTCTTGGGCTGGCTGCCCCGCACTGTCTTCACTTTGGGACCCAGCCTGACAGAGCAGCCTCTGTTTGGGACATTGGCCAGTCTCGTGGGAGAGGAAAAAGACAGAGATGGCAAACTACTAGCTGGCTCTTAAAGCTTCTGCTTGGACGTGCCAGACATTACTTCCGTCCTTGTTTCATCGGTTAAGGCCAAGTGTGTGGCCACCGCTGCAGTCAACACGGAGAGTATATCTAACCCTCCCCCCGGGGAAGGTGCTGCGAGGCGTCGCGCTGAGCTTGATGGCGATTGGGAGGGCACATTTAATCCTCCTCCAGGAGGTGTGGCAAATATTTAGAAAAATAGTACAGTCTGCCTCACCACCATAAGCCTATTGCCTCCTTACACATGGCATGTTCAGACTGTCTCAGAATTACTTCCGTCATTGTGCTCTTGGTGGTGTGCTGTTCTTCCAGGCAGCCATTCAGTCGTTCATCAACAGAGCAGGGCCTGCTGAGTGCCCCACACTGTGCTGAGTGTGGGCTTTTACAGAGAGATTGAGTATCGGTCCTTTCCCGTTAGACATTTCCCATACACTGTGATGCGTGCAGGGAGCTGTGCTGTGGCAGCATAAAAAGTGGACCTTCCTCTGGGAGAAGGGCAGTTTGTTGAAGAGCAGATGGGAGGAGAGGAGGAAACAGAGAAGGCTTCCCCATGGATGTGAAATTCATCAGAGTGACAGGGCGGCAAAGGGTATTCCAGGAAGACAAAACCATCTGTGCAGGGGCCTGATCTGCAATGTGTTCAGAGAATGGGCGGACGCTCGGTGGCTGAAGTGTGCAGGGGCTGGAGTGGGAGGTGATAGAGATGAGGTTAGACGGTGAGACACCATTAGGAAGAGTCGTAAATACCATGCTGGGGAGTTTGGATTTTATCTCACAGGCAGGGAGAGAGCTGTGGGACGATTCTAAATAAGAGATTGGCCTGATCAAGTCTGCGGATTTTAAGGAACCTCCAGCAGAAACCTCTTGCTGGAGCTGCTAATCCCTGTCTGGTCTTTGGCTTAGCCAGGAATAAGCCCTTGCTTATATGGTGTGGCTGCCCCGTGGGACCTGAGCACAGACGCCTCAGTGGCTTGTGTTGGATTTATTTGCTTCCTATTCACTGTCCCTTTCCCAAAGAATGCTCTCTCGTCACTTCTCCCCCATCCACATCCTATCCATCCTTCAAGACTCAGCTGAAGCTCCATGCCTCCCTTGGCCCACTGGCCTGACCACTCTAGCCCACTTTCATTGGTTATTTCACTAGGAACATTTTTTCAGAGCACTTCTTGGGACCACATACAATATCCCGCCTCTGAACTCAAAGCTTTTGTTGTCAGTTGTTTGGTGCTTTCGTTTATTCTGCCATTTACATGTTGTCTGGTGTCACTAATAGTTTCATGGGTTAGCATCCTGTCTCCTCAACTAGACTGTAAACTAGCAGGGGTCACACATTGTCCTTCTTGAAATGCCTAGCCCTGTATTATGCCTGTTGCTGCCAGAGTATCTTTAAAAGTTCAAATCTGACCATGTCAAGCCCTTCCTTAAATTCTTTAATGGGTCATTTTTGTTCTCAAATGATTACTAAGCTCCTCGGCCTGGCTGCTGCCGACCCCTTCTGCAGCACGTCCCCCTTGCACTCAACACCCCAGCTGCACTAAATAACTTGCATCTCCATTAACGGGCCATGGTCTCTCTAGCCTCCCCACACACTCTTCCCTCTGCCTGAAACACTCTTCCCTTGGCCTCTTTTCAGCTGTATGATTCTGATTGTCTTTTGGACATCCTGAGAAGCCTTCTTGTCCCTCATAAGAATGGGCTAGATGTTCTTTCTCTATATTTCCATAGCACCCTGCACTAGCCCAGTAGGGCCCCATTGCATGACTTGGGTCTGCCTTCATATGTTGTATTTCCAGTGCCTACCACAGTGCTTAGCATGGAGAGCAACCAATAAATATTTGTCCCCCAAAATGAATGACTTGTAGGTGTACAATAAATAATTGTTGAAGGAATTAAGTGCAAGGCGGCTCCTTATTGGAGGGAGTGTTGGAGTGGAGATTCCCTAGGATTTTTTTTAAACCACTGATGTTGCCCTAAAAGAACAGAAGGGAGCATCTCTCCTCTGTGACTCTGTCCTCTCTCCTCTATGAATGACTCAGAGGAGGATGCTAGAACAGCTGGTGAAGGACTAGGGAGAGGCAGTGTCAGTCACCTACTGAGTTCCTGCATCCTGATGTCGTAGAATGATAGGCTGAGAGGGACTCCCAAGAATGTGTTGTTCACGTGCTGCATTTTTAGCTGGGGAGATGGGTCCAAGGAAAGGAAGAGGCTTTTCCAAGGTTGTCTACCTGGTGTAGCAGCAAGAACAATAATATTACAGAAGCCTCTGAGAAGGAAAAGGTGTCTGTCTTGTGTAGTTCATTGCCTCGTGCTCTGCTCTGACTGTGTGTGAAGTGCCAGGGCTGGGTCTTTAAGCACCGTCTCTGGTTCATTCATTCCTTTGTTCATTTCACCAATATTGACCACCCACTCCCTGCCAGGCCTTCTCTGGACCCTGGGGATACAGCACTGACAAAAGACCAAGTCTTTGCCCTCATGGAGCTGACATATGACACATGCAGAAGTAGACACATCCTTATGTAAATAAACAATATTTCTCTTTCTGTCCCTGGTACAGTGCTTTTGCAATTAGAAACCATTTATTTAAAAATAATTTAAAATTTATATCCAGACATTCAGAACAACTTAGAGACATTCAGTTAAATGAGTGACCTCGTACCTATTTGGGGTTTTTTCCCCCCGTAATCAGGGCAGTTGGAGCAAAACAGATTTTGATTCTCCGTAAGGAAAAGCTTTTGTTGGAATTGCTCAGAAGGAGCAAGCTGCCTCTGAGGGTGGAGACTTTCCTGTTGTTGGGAGTGTTCATTTAATTTGACAAACATTAAATGCTTTCTACCATCGGCCAGGCCCTGTGCCACTGGGATACAGAGTTGAATGAGAAACAGCCCTTGTTCTTACAGAACTCACAGTCTTGCAGATGCAAAAGGGATTCAAATATCACTTTATTTCAGTTCAACAAACTTTTATTGAGTGCTTAGTGTCTACCAGACATGATGTTAAAGGTTATTTTCAACTCTGAGATGTTTTTGTCACTTATTATTTTTTATTTTCAAGATTGATAGCTATCACTAAATTAGTAGTAGCATGTGCAAAATATCTTTTAATCAGGTGATTGTTAGGTTTATGTTTAAGAGAGGGGCATGTCTACGGAAATGACAGAGCCCTTCCCTTCTCATCGTAACCTTTTGGACTTTCTCTTACGTCCTTCACACCAGCTACAGAGATCTGTGGTGGCATCCGGTGAAAAGCAATTACCTGTGGAGTATCGCATCAGCAAAAGGTGAGAGGGGTCTTTCGTTGGCAGGGACTCCAGTCATACCTGCTGCCCGCCCTCAGGCCTGTGGCACAGGTGATTGAAGGTCAGCAACAGCCATTCAGGTGCTGTCAGAGATGCCACTGGAGAACCTGTAGTTCACGTTAATATCTATATATTCTTGTTGAGAGGGAGAAATTTCCACTCCCCTCACCCAAGAGCCTTTCACACGTTGTTATATGGTCTGAGGACTTAACTAGGAGGCCATTAGGGAAAGACTTGACAAACCTCCTATGCCCTAAACCAAAAAATAAGTGTGTAGTTGTTCTTCCAACCAGGATTGCTTTTCCAGAGAATACAATCCTGTTCCCATTTAGAATTTGACTTTACAAGATTCCATTCCCACCTCTTGACTCATATTCAAAGCATGACTTGCCAACATTCAGGCAAGAAGGATGTCTAGAATCTCTGGACCTGATGGCTTTTCTAGAGGGGCAGATTCAGCTCTGAGATCCCAGCTTTATCCCCTCCCCTCCATCCCTGCCCACTCCCCTGCAGCCCTGGATTTGCACTGTAAGGACAGGACTGATGATACAGTAAGAGGTTGCATCTCCATCGGAGCCATGGGAGACAGTGACGACAGCAGCCTTGGGGAGAGGCCAGACCTCAGGAGGGGTGGATAGTTTTTGTTGTCTGGGAAGTGAGGTGAGTGATGAAAGCTTTGATTCAGATTCATTTGGCTTAACTTATTTGGTCTAGTACATTTAGGGACCTTTCACATTAGGAGTTATTTTCAAAACCTTGGAAGGTCCATATGATCTCAGCTTCATTGCTTTTCTAAACTTTCTAACATAGTGTCAAAGAGAAAATTCAACCTTCTATTTAGATTAATTGCTTTTAGGGGAGTAGGTGGTATTCTTTTTACTTTTCAGATAAAAAAACTGAGACACTCATTCTTCCCTCTCATCACTCTGACCTATTTGAATTTTGGCTCTATCCTCACAACTTCACTGGAACTGGTCCCCCAAAGGTCACCAGTGAACTCCTAGTCGCCAAATCATTTTTCTGCCCACGAGCCTTCACTGGCTGTCCATTACCCACAAGGACCAGTTTTCTTACCACGGTGTCCTCAGCTTTCTACAAATGCCTTGAACCTACTTTTCCAGCCTTATCTCCCATTAATTCTTTCATAGACCAAATGCTTTCCCCTTTGTACATGCTGTGTATTGTTAAACCTCCCTGTCTGTGCTTAGGCTGTTTCTTCAGCCTGGAGTACCCCTTTGTCTTTTCCATCTATTGAAATTTTATGCGCTGTTCAAAATTTGACCTACATGTCACCGTCTTACCTCAGTGCCCCAGTCAGAGTTAACGTCTCCTTCCTCTGTGCTCCCAGCATTTTACTTTAAAGGCTGTTTCTCATTTTTCACTCTACATTGATTTTTACTCAGTTATATTTGTGTCTTTTCCCGTGAGCTCTTTGAACACAATAGCCTTATCTTGGACATCTTTGTAAACCTAGGAGCACATAGCATAGCACTTCACATGCACTCCATATGAAAGAATGAACAAATGAATCCACCATTTATACAGCAAAGTGGTCTTCCCATATCGTGCCCAGGCTCTTCCCTTCAGAGCCCTCGTCGTCTTCCCAGGAGGCTGACTGCCTTTTCTTGGGGAGCACTTCCTCACTTCCCAGCAACCTACATTCTCATTCCAAATCCTCCACTTTGTCAGAACCTCAAAAAGACATTCAGGAAAAGGGGCTGAACTTTGCTCTTTGGCCTTTGAAGTATCCTGATTTGTCTTGGAATAGAGCAGAAAAGCAGAGATTTTTCTGTGTTTTACAGCAATCACTAATACACAGCTTACAAACCATCTTCATAAGCATTATCTCTCACGATCTTCACAACTCTGTGAAGTAGGTATCATTATCATCCCATTTTATGGATGAACACACTGAACCTTAGAGAGGTTAAAGGTTAAGTGCCTGACGTAGGGTCACACGGAGGATCAGAGACTGGTCTTACTAGTCTGAATCTGAAGCTTTTTCCATTGCACTCAGCTCCCTCTGTTGAAATGTCTCTAAAACAGAGCAGTTTTAAAGGCAGGGTTTGTCTTTTTCCTCTTTGTATCCCAGTGCCTTGTGCTGTGAACCTTCACTCTGTAGCCTCAGCGCCTGGTTCAGGGCCTGGCATTCAGTAGGCCTCAGAGAAGGTTTGTTGAGTGAATGAACATGTGAATGTTGAGATAGAGACAGAATGGACTGGGCGGACTTAACATGAGTGAGTAGGTAATTAAGCATTAGTGTTTATCTTCCTCTCCTGCTTTCCTCCCTCCCTCACTCCTTCCCTTCCCTTCCCTTTCGTTCCTTCCTTCCTTCCTTCCTTCCAGCAATTGACATAATTCATTCATTCACAGACATTTAGTCATTTCTAGCATCAGATCATTGATGCTCCAATCTGTGGTGTGTTTTAGTGCCTGGCTGAAGGACACCGTTGACCCAATGCTGGTGACCCTTGACCATCGCATTGCTGCCCTCACGGGCCTTGATGTCCAGCCTCCCTACGCAGAGTATCTCCAGGTGGTGAACTATGGAATCGGGGGGCACTATGAGCCTCACTTTGACCATGCTACGGTAACTATGGGGTCAATGACCAATCTCCTGGGTGGGGAACCAGAGTGTTATTTATTTCTCTGAGGCAGAGCTCTTACAGGGGTCTCAGGGAATAAGTGAAATCTTAGAACAAAAGTTCTTGTTCCAGAAAGATCTGAAAGCCTTGGTTTCAAGCTGATTGCTGCTGACTCATTTTCTTGTGTGCCACCGTCCTCCTCTCCAAGATTTGCTAGTGGGGAGAAGAATGTGGCCTATCATGGAGTCTTCTGTCCTGCTTCACTCAGGGACTTCCCAGTGAAGATTGTCCTTCCTCCAGTCACTCCTTTCCTCATGATCTCAACTGCCCGTCTTTGCTGACAGATACTCAACAACTAATTTTTGAGGATTAAAAGATCCCCCCGAAATTGTTGTATAGATTCAACCTAAACTATATTAAAATCACAAGAGGCTTATTTTTATTGAAATTAACAAGCGGATCCTAAAATGTATATGGAAATGCAAAAGACCTAGAATAGCCACAACAATTTGAAAAAGAACAAAGCTAGAGGACATACACTCCCTGATTTCAAAACAAAATATAGAGCTACAGTAATCAAGACAGTGTGTTATTGGTATAAGGATAGACACATAGGTCAATAGAACAGAACAAAGAGTCTAGAAATAAACCCACATGTTTATGGTCAATTGATTTTTGACAAAAGTGCCAAGGAAATTCAATGAGGAAAAGACATCTTTTCAACAAATGGTACTGGAACAATTGAATATCTATTTGTGAAATAATAGTAATAATAACAACAACTTTAGACCCTTGCCTCACACCATGTACAAAAATTATCTCAAAAAAATCATAGACCTAAACGTATAATTCAAAACTATACAAGTGTTGGAAAAAAACATAGAGAAAATCTTTGTGACCATGGGTTAGGCAAAGATTTCTTAGATAGGATACCAAAGCATGATCCGTAAAAGAAAAATAAAAGTGATAAACTGGACCTCATTGAAATTAAAATCATTTGATTTTCAAAACACCATTAGAAAATGAAAAGATAAGCCACCAACTAGGGGAAAACATTTGCAAATCATATATCTGATAAAGGACGCGTTTCCAAAAATATAAAGAACCCTTATAACTCAATAATAAGACAACTCAATTTTTTTTAATGGGCTTCTTTGAATTAATACTTTGAATAGATTGGTAGTCAAATAGATTATTTGAATGGGCACTTCACCAAAGAAGATAAATGAATGGCTAATAAGCACGTGAAAAAATGCTCAACATCATGAGGGAAATGAAAATCAAAACCACATAAGATAGCCCACTGCACTCCTATTAGAGTGGCTGAAATAAAAAGGATCATTTCAAGTGTTGATGAGGATGTGGAAGAAGGGAAACTCTCATGCAGCGCTGGTGGGAAGGTAAAATGGTACAGCCACTTTGGAAAATAGTTTGGCAGTTTCTTAAAAAGTTAAACATAAACCTACATGTGGTCTAGCCGTTTTACTCCTAGGTAGTTTAACCAAGAGAAATGGAAATGTTTGTCCATACAAAGACTTGTACAAGAACGTTTATAGCAGCTTTATTGGTAATAGCCAAGAATAAGAAACAACCCAAATGTTTATCAACAGGTGAATGGATAAGCAAAAATTTTTTTTTTTTTGCTGGGAAAGATTCTCTCTGAGCTAACACCTGTTGCCAATCTTCCTCTTTTTTTTTTTCCTCCCCAAAGCCCCAGTACATAGTTGTATATTCTAGTTGTAAGTCCTTCTAGTTCTTCTATGTGAGCTGCCGCCACAGCATGGCTACTGACAGACAAGTGGTGGAGTTTCACACCTGGGAACTGAACCTGGGCTGCTGAAGCAGAGTATGTCGAACTTTAACCACTAGGCCATCAGGGCTGGCTCTAAACAATTTTTTTTATATTCACACAATGGAATATACTCAGCAATCAAAAGGAATGATACGTCCAATAACATAGATGATCCTTAAAAACACTGTGCTAAGTGAAAGAAGCCAAACACAAAAGACTATTTATTTTATGATTCTATTTATATGAAATTTCTAGAAAAGGCAAAACTATAGAGACAGAAAGCACATCAGTGGTTGGCCAGTCTTGAGGGTGGGAGTAGGAATTGACTGCAAACTGACATGAGAGAACTTTTTCAGCTGATGCAAGTGTTTTAAAATTCGATTGTGGGAATGGTTGCACAACTGTTAAAATTTACTAAAACTCATTGAAAAGTACTCTTACAATGGGTGAATTTTATGGTATGTAAGTTATATCTCAATTAAACTGTTCTATGACAAAAGAATGTGTCTCTTCAGCAAATAATTGGGAACTCCAGTCTTATGACTTGGTGTTCCTACAGAATAATTATCTGTAATAGTTTATATATTAATTTCTTTATTTCATTGAGAACCTGAAGGTACAATTAACCCCTCATATAGTACTTTCACTACGGACAAGCAATTCTGTTTGATTAGCTTACAATTCACTTATATGAGTATCTAATAAACTAGTAAAAGAAAGAAAGTATATTGAGTACCTGCCAACAAACATGGGCACATACTCTACCAGGTATAGCTCAAGGCTGTATCCTGTCTGTGACACCCCCATTTTTCTCCTCCCTGTATTATGGTGGAATCCTGGCTGTTACTCTGGTGCCGTCTGTGTAAAATAATGATGTCTTCTATTTTTGTCTCAGTCACCAACCAGCCCACTGTACAGAATGAAGTCTGGGAACCGAGTTGCAACATTTATGATCTATGTGAGTCTTGCTTTGGAGGGACTAGGGCTTGTTACTTAGTGACTATTTATATTGCTTTTATTTTATGGTTTTCAAAGCAATATCAGATATTGATTTTATCTGACACAGCACAAAAATCTCCAGGACTTTTGTGAATTTCAGATAGCATTTTTGTTAGGCATTATAGGAGATATAAGGAAATATAAGTCAGAGTTCCTGCCCTCAAAGAGCTTACAGTGTGTAGACCTAAATATAACCTTGTTGCAGGTAGTGAGTATGTTGGGAAGTGGGGTTACACTGGAGGCCGAGAGATCCTGGAACCTGACCAACACAGGAAGAGGACGTGCGAGTCTCTCTCTTTGAGGTCCATAGACTAGTTGGTGTTGAAAAGCATGGACCTATAGATGAGGTTGTGGAGCTGTGAGGAGAAAGAGAGAAGAGAAACGAGGCAGCTAAGATTGCAAGAGGGAAGAACAGAGATGCCTACAGAGAAAGTCAGTAAGTGTTGCTCTCTCATATGTAGTGAAAATTCTCTTCCTTATCTCCCCATAAAATCTTCAGCAAAATCTTCCTTACAGCCCCTTAAAAAATAAATTGGCCTCTTTTCCTAATTTCTGACCTGATCCTACAGGATTTGGACCCAGTCTTTATTATCTCACCTAGCCCCTTACCTTCAGATCATGTGGGTTTACCTCCTTCTCTATGGACAAGTCATAATTTCAGTCATCTGTCACTTAAATTATGAGAGGAGTGTTACTGTCAACTGAAGGGATAAACACGCTAAGTAGAAGGGCTCTACATAATACCCAAAGATGAAGTCCTGGTTTCAGACTCTTTAGACTAACAGGCACTCCGCCCTAGCATTCCCTCTTTTCTTGGTGCAATAGCTGGTCTCCACAGTGCAGCCACGAAAGGGCAATCAGAGGCCGGCACTCCATAGTCTTTAGTGCTGGCAATTCCCATGTATTTCTTCATGTGGCTCTGTTTTATACATCCTGCAGAACTGGAAGGCTGCCACTTCCAATGGCGTCTAGCCTCTAGTGGTCATTCTGAGTGTTCTGACAGGCACAGAGGGATAGCTGACGTCAGCTCTCAAGGCAGGGAGCATGTCTTGGATTGACAGCTGGTTGCATCTCTGGCTGATGACTCAAGCTGGCATGAGATGTCACAGGCAGTGAGGAACATTGATATCAACCAAAGAATAGGACATCTAGGGGCCGGTATCTCTCTGTTCTTTGCCTCCCTAATATCTCCTACAGCTGGTTCCCTGGTTACAGAGGCCCAGTTACTATTTTAAGGGTAGTGTGGATGCAAGAGCCCAGCAATTTTAAATGGCAAATGCACGTGTGTGTATGCACGTGCTCACACACACGTGCATATGCATTTGGGTTTTAAGCATTTGAGACACAGTGGAAGGGAATGTGCTTTGGGTTTGGAGTCAGTTGGCCTAATTCTGGTTTGGCCACTTCATATGTGTCCTCAGCACAAATCACATCAATTCTTTGACCTTTTTTTCTTGCCCTGCACCTCCTCACAGGGTTGTCATGAGGATATGATGAGATAATGTAAAGGGATTTCACTCTGTAAAGTTTGTTTCTATTGTTGTATCCCACAAAGCGAGTATAGGACCCCATAAAGGGGCGTCAGCGTTGTGGCACCTAGGAAGTGCTAGGTTATGCCCAATTATTTCATCTTCAGGTTGGGGTAAAGACCATCATAAACATTTCTAAAGACAAATAGTAAGGTGTGTGAAGAACATAAGAGTAATACTGTAGGGAGAAAATAATCCTTAAGATATGCAGAGGATTGAGTTATAATGAAGTTAGTGATTTTCTGCTCAGACTGGATATAAGATCACTCCCAGTACAAAACAGTGGAAGGTTTACAGAGCGAAGATTTCCCTCCCCTCCCCGCAGATCTCATAATCCTGTTCATTAGTTTCATAGCATGTAGATCATATTCTCTTTTTAATTTGTTGGATAAGTCTTTCCTTCCCACTGTACTGTGAAACCACAAGTAAAGGAATGCAGCAAAGTCCAGGTTCCCCCTGTTGCGTCTTGCTTACACCCACAGTGGCTGACAATGGGGGTTACAACAGAATCATCCAGTTTGTTAGTTACTTAAACACAAGGAGCAAATTGTTGCTCTCCTCACCCTTCCCAAAGGGCTATGGGGGAGCCAAGAAATTCTAAAAATCACTACTGCCATTTCCAGGTTCTGAATCCCCCAGTCAGTTCAGTTTCCTCCAACAAATGCCAACATCCTACCTCCTATAGCCCTTGCTCTGTAACCCAAGTGAATATGGTGGGATCCGTGAATATTCTGGTAGGCAAGGCAGTTAGCCAGGGTGAGGTAAGACTGTCACTCTCATGTTGTGGTGCTGGTGAGAAAATAATTCAGCAGGATGTATCCAAAGTGTTCAACATGTGCATACACTTTTCACCCAATAATACCAGTGTTCGGACTCTTTCTATGAAAACAATCTAAAATGAAAAAATAATTTTATTCATTAAAATGTTCAGTGCAGTGTTGTTTATAATAGTAAACATTTGGAAATAACCTGAATGTTCAAGAGTACATCGTAAAGGCTATGAGCAGGGACTTTGTAGTTAGCACTGGCTTCGTTCAAATCCTGGCTCAATCACCGAAGAGTTATGTGACCTTTTGTAAAGTACTTAATCTCTCTGAGACTCAATTTCTTCATCTGTAAGATGTGAATAATGACAATAACAATCCTAACTTATAGGATTGTTGTGAGGAATAAGTGGGATAATATATTTGTAAGAACATATAGTCAGTGCTTAATAAATGTCAATTATTAGTATGTAAACTATAATAGTGCTTTTTTTCCTGGATGGTAAGATGATGAGTAATATTATTTTTAAGTATTTTCCTGTATTTTTCAAAATTTTCTTGTATTTTTTGACAATCAGAAAAAAATCTTCATATTAAGAAAACACATCCATAGTTCTAGAATATACCAGTGGTGAAACTCTTAGCTGAGGTTACCTAGAGAGGGACTGAGTGATCTGGGAAACACACTAAAGATGCAATCAGTATCCTATGATGCCCAGCTTTCAAACTAATCGTTGTAGTCTAAACAGTATTCTGCAAGCCACAGGTCATGATCTATTAGTGGGCTGTGAAATAAATTTAGTGGATCTGGTCTGCATTTAAGAAATCTGAACTAGAATAGAATAAAATAAAATGGCAAATAACAGAGGGTCTCTCATGTAGTAAGAATGTTTTATGAAACTTTTACTTCAGGGGTGTGTGTGTATGTGTGTGCCCTGGGTCGTGATATAAACTATATTTCTTCCTGAGGGTCTCAAAGTTTGAATTGACTTATTGTAGCCCTCAATAAGGATGTTAGCTGGAAGGATAAAGAAAGGGGGAATTCCTAAATGTTATCCTGTAGTGGCCCTATAGGCAAACACCCATGCCATTGAGTAGGCTCCCTTAATTCCTAAATTGGGTGATTGTCCCTCAATAAGTATTGCTCCCAGAGTTGAAATAGGGGAACAAAGGAGGGAATCTATGCAGAAATGACATAAGATGTTAAGTAGGGCAGAGTAGGGCAGTTGGAGGCTATTTCAACTCGGGCTCTTCCTCTGGCATTGTAGCTGAGCTCCGTGGAAGCAGGAGGAGCCACAGCCTTCATCTATGCCAACTTTAGCGTGCCTGTGGTCAAGGTGAGTCGGGGTCTGGTCCCAACAGATGGTGGCTGTAAGAGTGAAGCACTAACACCCTAGCTTTCCTGCTGTCTCTGCTTGCAAGCTTATTCCTGGGAGGGGGAACAAAAGAGGTCTTGCCTGATTCCCAGAATCAAAGATAATTCTCAGTCTTCTTGATGACCACAATACCTGTGCCTCTATTTTTTATTGTATTTACACTTATATAACAAGTAGATAATTACGTATGCCTCCCCTATTACAATAGAACTGCTCAAAGGTAAGAACTCTATTTTATTCACCTTTAGATCCTCTACAGCAACTGATCTCTTCAGTCATTCATTCAGTAAACATCAAGGGCTGGAGACACTGAGGGTACTGAGGAAAACTCAGTCCTTGTCCCCCAGGAGCTCGCAGAGAAGGTCACAGGCAGTAACAACGTATTGCAATAAGAGCTATGAAATCAAGTGAGACACAGAGGAGGGTCATGTGGGAAGAGGTTTGTTGAAGGAATGAATATTTCCCCCAGATTTCAGATCAATCAGAATTAGGTAACGGTGACAGCCCTTACCTAACTCAGGAATTCATGCCTTTAAAGCACTTAGCACAGTGCCTGGCGCATCCTAAGCTTGTCAATAAGTAAATGCTGGGTGTCTATGAAAACTCAGGGAGTTGACGTCTCTCCTAGGCTTGGGAACGCATAGGCTGTCACTGCATCCTGGAAAGCTCTTTATTACCTTGGGCTTTGTCTACATCTAATGGCCAAGGTTAAAGTAACTCTATAGGAAGTGTGTAGGAAAAACAGCTGTTTAGGGGGAAAAAAAGAACATATAGGATTTGGAGTCAAGGCACCTAGGTTTGAGTCGTGACTTTGCTCTGTCTTAGTTGCATTATTTAAAGCCCCTAAGCTCCAACTGCCTTGTTGGTAAAGTGGGGATAATGATAATGCTTGCTTCCTGGGGGTGTCATAAGGAAGGGTGAGAGTCTGAATTAAGTCAGTTCTTAGTTGTATGAAGGATGTTTTGTTCTACCTTGTGGTTTTTGTTGAGTGCCTCTCCTCAGTGATCCAATGACACCCTGTGCTCACCTTTCTCCTAGCTCTTGTCACACTGTCTTGTCCTAGTCTGTTTTGTTTTGTTTTGTTTTGTGAGGAAGATCAGCCCTGAGCTAACATCCATGCCAATCCTCCTCGTTTTGCTGAGGAAGACCAGCCCTGAGCTAACATCTATTGCCAATCCTCCTCCTTTTTTTCCCCTTTTTCTCCCCAAAGCCCCAGTAGATAGTTGCATGTCATAGTTGCACATCCTTCTAGTTGCTGTATGTGGGACGTGGCCTCAGCACGGCTGGAAAGCAGTGCCTCGGTGCGCGCCCAGGATCCGAACCCAGGCCGCCAGTAGCGGAGTGAGCGCACTTAACTGCTAAGCCACAGGGCGGGCCCCTGGTCTGTTTTTGTATCTGTCTCTTCCACAAGACTGTGAGCTCCCTGAAAGCAGAATTGGACACAATTTGTCTCTGCATCCTCAGGGCCTGGAGCAGAGTAGGCCCTCAATAAATGACGTGCGCGTGAATGAATGAGTAAATGGCAGCTTAGGCCATTTGGTGCCATTTTATGCATGCCTTGCCCCCAGTCTGCATGGACAGTTTTCCTGTTTAATGACATGCATGCATTTGTTCTCAGTCATGTGCTTCCAAAGGACTAAGATTCTGGGTTGACCCTCCCTGGGGCGGGGCCCTCTTGTTTTCAGAATGCAGCACTGTTTTGGTGGAACCTGCATAGGAGTGGTGAAGGGGATGGCGACACACTTCATGCTGGCTGTCCTGTCCTGGTGGGAGATAAGTGGGGTAAGATCTGCCTTTCTGGACATGAGAATGGGGTGAAGGGTTTGGAGTAAAGTGAAATGGGGGTGGATGGAAAGTAGCATAGGCTTTTCATTCTAAAAGCTTCATTACAGTGCCACATTATATTGAGATGATCAGATTCTGGGTTAGTTGCCCCCAGAATTGGGAGTCCCAAAAGGGGAGGGATCCTGTCACAGAGCAGGTATCAGAAAAAGTTTATTGACCTGACCAGATACGCCTTGATCCCTGAGCACAGCTGAGGAGGAATATGGTGCTGAGTTGCAGCCCCCAATCCAAGGAGAGAACCATCAAGCCATTAACTCCACCATTTCGTGCCTCCCCATGAGGAGATGGTCAGACGAGGGAGAGAAAAATAAGCAGTGGACGTGTTTATGTCATATATATGTCCAAGAGCACTTAGTCCTGAAGACAGAAAAAGAAGGAGAAGAGGGACTTTATGCTGAGATGGACATTGCCAGGAGAAGCTGCGCCTTTCCCCTCATTACTCTGGAATGGCACTGTGGGGGAGGTGGGCTTTTAGGAACCCCATGAATGAAGGATGAGTGACGTTAGTACCCACAAGTTTGAAAATTAGTCTGTAGTAGACAGGACCTGTCAGGGACTTTTTCCAGGGGACAGTTTGCTATTTATCTCTGCTGGAGGCAACATCTTGTGGTCCATAGCAGAGCTGGGACGAGGGTGAGGCAAGTGAGCTGCCCAGGGTGCAGAATTTAAGGAGGCCCTCACACGACCCTGTGAGTGAGCACTGCTACTGTCCGCCCTGCTGAGCCTGCTCTCTTCTTCCTCCATTCTCTCCCAGTGGCCAACAAGTGGATACATGAGTATGGACAGGAATTTCGCAGACCCTGCAGCTCAAGCCCTGAAGACTAAAGTGTCGGCAGAGAGAAGTTGGTGGAGTCTGTGACTTTCCAGAGAAGCCAGAAGCCAAAAGCTAGGGTGAGAGAGGAAAAAGGAGAGAGACCTTCTGGAAGAGGCCCTTGGCATTGCCTGTTACTTGCAAATGGGAGACAAGGAAGTGGTCTTTACCAAGGGACACCTGAGAACTTACATTGTTTCTCCTCAAACCGTGAGAGTTACAGCAGAATGAACAATACAAAGGAGGAGCAAGAAGGCTGGAGAGAGAAGTTTCTGGAGCTCAGACACTCTCTGTTGGGAACAGGACATATCAAAAGTCTCTGGGGTTTGGTCAGTAGGGCTTTTGCCACTTTGAACCTTGACCTCGGGGGCGCAGAAGTGGCAATGAGGACGCCTGCGGGAGGGGGCTAGCCTGACTGCCGTGGCTTTTGCCCTTCTACTCACTGACTTCTGCTGAAGACTGAGCAGGGAGTGGCTCTAATCAGCAGTGTACCTCATATCATGATTGTTTTTTAAGCAGAAAGCAACTTCTTTTTTTTTTTGTATGATGATTTTTTAATACAGTCATTAAAAATGTTTACAAATCATTTTTCACAACTGAGACTATTTTTACATTATAACGTTGAGTGAATAAAAGCAGAGTATAAGATTTTATGTTATAATCTCAACTGGGCTTACCCCCTACCACTCCTCTCTGTCTACATTCCAGGCACATGACGTTCTTTCTGTTCCTCAAAACCACCATGCTCATCACGATCAACATTGTTCCCACTTTTCAGGCCTTCCCATTTGCTGCTCCCTCAGATCCTGCCACGGCGGAGCTCTTCTCATCATTCCACTCTTGGCTCAGTGTCAACTTGCAAGAGGCCTTCTCTGACCACCCGACCTTCTAGCTACTTTCTTTCACATTTACCAATTTTATTTTCTTCATAACACTTTTCTTGAATTGAAATTACTTTATTCATTTGTTTAATTGTGGTCAGGTGCCTTCCCTGCAGGGTGAGTGCTTTAAGACCCCACTCTACTCTGTAAATGCCTCTGTTATAGCCCCTGTCTCACTGAATTTCAATATGTGTTTATTTGCCTGGCTGCTCACACTAGACTCTGCACTCCTTATTCCTCTTGGTATCCCCAGAAAGAGGTCTGGTTTAAATAAGTAGGCATTCAGCAGATATTTTTGGATAAATGAGTAAGAAGGCATCCTTTGAGCTGTGCTTTGGAGGACAGGTAGAATTTTTACAGGCAGAGTCTAATGAGGAGGAGCATTTCCCAGCAGAAGGACTAGCATGAGCTAAGGCTGTATTGATGAGTGACTGTTATATTTGAGCACTTGTGCAAAGAGAACATTCCAGGCGATTTGGCTCAGGTCTCTCAATTTGGGACCGTGGATCTTGCTCACAAAGAAGCCTGTTAAAGGACTGGGTGGTTAGACACTGTGCTGCCTCTGCCCACTCCTGCCTCAGGATTTCTGCTCCCCAGAGCTCTGTGGCCCCCAAGGAAAGGGCCCTGATGTGCTGATATCCAGCTTCCTCCAGAGCCTTGATAAGCACCTGGTCACACCCCAGTATTTCTGCTGCGTGCACCAGGATTCCAGAAATCCTCTTACTAAATTACTGTCATGTAGGGGAAGAAAAGTAATTTTCCCTCTGCACTTCTGAGTTCTTAGCTGAAAGCTCTGTAACAAAAGATTAGCAAGAAAAAAACAGACATTCATCAACATGTGTACCTCATGTATACATGGGAGACCTTCAGGGGAAAACAAGTAACTCCCTGAGGAGGCTTAGAATTCAGGTTTAAAAAACATCTTAACAGGGAAAAGGGAGGCCTCTTAGGGAGATTTTTAGGGGAGATGAATGGGCCTTTAGAAGAACAGATGGGTGGTATGATGGTTTGTGAGAAAGTTTGAGTGTGGTGTCCACTTCTAGTGATAAGAGTGCGTCTTCCCTGGTTGGTGAAACTCCTGGTGGGGGAGGATTATGACAATTGACGTCCTTTTGGAGGATCTGTCTTCAGGCAGATAAGGGGAGTTCAGAGAAAGCCTCTCCCTACATTTGCTGTTTTTCAAGTGCCCACAGCTCAAAATAACCAATATGCAAGAGCGGCATATTCGGGGGCGGCATGTTCTGCTAGCCCTCAGTCTCATACTGACAGCCTGCCTCCTCCAGCTCCAGAGGAACGGGCCTGAGACAGAAAGCTACTGTCTGTGAGCGACACTGCTCCCCTTTCTTCACAGCTGCGGGGATCAGGACTGGCCTCGGAATTGCAGGGTTGGTCTGAGCTAACAGCAGCAATGGTGAACTCGGTGAGTTTACCGTGTGAGGGGCGCGGTTCTAAGGGCTTACGTGCATCAATGATTTAATGCTCATCCCAGCCCTGTGAGTTACTCTCCCCATTGACAGAGAAGGAGGCAGAGTTAGAGAGTTGGGTAACTTGCCATGGTCCCACAGTCAGGCTCCAAACATTGTGCTATTATCCACTGGTCTTATAATGTCTGAGATAGAAGTGACAGTTATCAAACCCAGAACTAAGACCCAAGAACTGTCTGGCTGCAAATTAAGCAACAGCTGCTTACTGAGCATTCCGCAGGGGCAGGCCTGGGCCCAGGCGTGCTGTAGGGATGCTGAGAGGTGCAGGATGCAGTCTCTAGGGGCTGAGAGCCAGTAGGGGGATGAGACACGTTCACCCAGAGTTCAATGTTAGTTGAGCACAATGTGAAAATGTTGGATGCAATAAGAGATGAATTATTGAAAGCTGCAGTCAAGAGCTGAAGGGGTCATTGTGGCTTGGGGTAGTTGGGATAGCCTCATTTGTTTATTCAAATTACATTGCCAAGGTACTAACTCACAGCCAGGCCCTTGGGGGCACCAGGAATGGAGAGGAGAATTAGATGCTGACCTTGCCCAGACCCTCAAATCATCACAAGACAATGTAGCCCCAGGTGGATACAGGAACTGAGCACTGAGAGGCCCCCCAGAGGCACCACAGGAAGGAGAGACTGACTAAGTCTTGAAGATGGGGAGGGTCGAGAGGGTTGGAAGGAGAGGCAGGTCTGTGCAAATAGGTAATGCCTGTCCCTAGACCTACAAAGAGTCCCACCTTACTTTGGCCAGTATGTTAGTTATCAAAACACTTTAGCACTCCTTCTCTTGAACCTCACCTGCCCAGGAGGAAAGGGAGTAGGCATTGTGGAAAGTGAGGTGGCTTGCCTGGGGTGACACAGTGAGCTTGGCCTGAGGCCTGGTCTTCTGTCTCCCTCACCAGTGCTCTTTCCACTCAGTGGTTTTCAAAGCTTGTCCCTCCGTTGCACCACACTGCAGAGTGGAAAGGCCTTATTCTTCTATATTTGCGCCAGTCTCCATGCCCTCAGAAACTCTGACCAGTCATGTTAGAAAGTGGTGTGGCTGTGGGGCCCAATTGCACTTTGTGGGTAGGTAGCTGATTCTAAATAGGACTGACTGTGGCTTGGGGCACTGCTTGTTTATAATTTTGTTTCTTTCTTTCTTGTACTGTTCTTCAACCTTTTTTCTAACAGCTGTGTCCAGCCTGGGCTCCTGGCATTGCACTGTATGTCACTTACAAGCCTCACTCCAGGTAATGTGCTTTACATTAAGGCCTATTATCATTATCATTATCATTAGTAACCGCATTTTTACCATTTACTATAGGCCAGGCACTCTGCTAAGAACTTGATATTGAACCTCTTAATCTCAAGTTCATGTGCCCAGTGCACAGTAAGCCAAACACTGAGACATCAGTGCGTGGAGATGGAGAGAGGTTTATTTCAATTGGCCAAAATGAGAAAGTGGGAGCATGGTTTCACTCAGATCTGCCTTAACAAGAACAGAAAGCAAAGGGGTTTTATAGAGCTAAGGGGCTTGGCAGGAGGAGCTTGGAGAAACAAAGGGGTTACTCCTGATAAGCCCCTGGGCAATCTGACTTCTGGGTGTCAATGGCTGCTGGGGGCTGGCCATTCGGGTGATTGCAACCTCCCGGAAGGCATTCTCCTTCTTCTGCAAAACAAGTTCCCAAATCCTCACAACCCCTGAGTCACCCCTCAAGTTAAACAAGAAAACAGCAAATTAAACAAGGTCAAAAGGCAATCATGTTTTTAATGAATATCTACAGTAACCTTCAGGTACCCGGCTTCAAACTTAGTTGACTTGTTTCCTTCAGTCCTCACAGTGAGAGGGGCACTATTAGCCTCATTTTATAAATGGGGGAAACTGAGGCAGAGAACATGTAACTTGCCTGAGGTTACATAGCCATAAAGCGGCAGAGACAGGATTCAAACCCAGGTCTGTCTGTCTCCAAAGATCTTAACTAGCCCTCTGTTGTCTGCTTGCATGTTATTTTGCTGTGGTTGCTTTGCTCCCATTGACAATAACATCTTTTGGAGCCAACAATTTTTGAGAACAGTCTTCAACTTTTTCCCAGGTATTGCAAAGGTCTATTCCTTGTGCCTCTAACACCTAATGGCTAAGAACCCTCTCAGATGTAGGTATTTGTTGAATATATGAATGAATCACCTCAATTCCACAGATGTACAATGAACAGCTATCGTGTGACCAGGCCATGCTAGGTGCTCCATGAGAATCCAAGAAAATGAGGAGGCCTGCTCACTGCCCGTCTTAAGGCAAAATTAGAATACGCCCAAATATAAGAATAGAGAATTGGATATAATCAAGTGGAAAGCTGTATGGTGCTCACCCTAAGGATCCTGGGAGCTGAGAGAAGGGGGAGAGCCCTACAGCTAGAGTAGGCTGAGAGGGCTTCCATGTTGGGGCCCCAGGAGCACAATGGAAAGATTGTGTGCCTGTGGAGGGCAGGGAGCAGCTGCCACCTCACTTGTCCCCCTTTCACACACAAAGGGGCAAGGAGAGCTGTCTGGGAGGAGAAAGTGAGAGGGTGTTGATTCTGGGGGCCCTGTCCAGCAATGCCAAGGGCAGCCAGCACAAACTGCCCTTTCATGGAACCAGTCAAAGAGTCCCCTGTTTGGGGGCCTTGGCTGCTCAAGCTGGGAGAAGCCAAAGGAGAGGAGTGGGGTGGGGAGAGGGAGCATCAGCCTGCAGACTGCCGTACCCTCAGCAAAGCTGAAATCAGCTGAGCGCCAGGGCACAGAGACAAACATTTGTGCCTTCTCTGTGCCAGCTATTTTATCTCCCTTATCTTATCACAACAATTATCCCTTTTGGCAAAGGAAGAAAAGAAGGCTCAAAGAAAAGACTTCCCTAAGTTTACACAGCTAGAAGCAGAGCAGGCATCTGAAGCTAGGAGGTCTCCCCACCAGCTGCTTCCACTCTCTCTCTCTCTCTCTGAACTTTCCTCTCTTCCCCACCTTGTGATCCCCACAATCTTCTCCCCCTTATGCAGGAGAGCCTGCCTCTTTCCCTTCTTTCTCTCTGCCCCATCCCTCTTTTATTACCTTTCTTGGTCACATGACCCTTCACATCAAGTGCTTGATAGGCCTGTTCCACCTGAAGTCTGAGTGACAGAGGGTCCCTCTGTCCCAGCCAGGGGCAGGTTTGCATTTGAAATGATAGCCCCTGGTGAAATCAAAGATCATCTCAAAGAAATGAGGTGCTGCTG